TAATGCTCAAATTAACATTAATATTCAAAGAAACATTCGAAAAAACAATATCCAAAAAGATACTTTTTTTTTAATATTCACGGGGCGGGGAATTATGCCCCGCCCCACCCGATCAACCCGTGGGCGCGGAGTAAATTGCCATCACTATTTGTCATGGTGTTTGCTTTCTCTCCGCATTGTATGGAGATATTTTTTATTTTATTTCGCACTGTACAGAAAGTTTGTCAATTTTCCGCACATGGTTTGCCATCTTTCTGTATTATGTGGAAGTTTTTTCTTTCTTTTTTAATCTACACATGGATTGCCATTTCTCTGCACCGTGTAGAAATTTTATTTTTAATTTTTTTTAAAGCTCATGTGTGAAGAGTTTTTTTCTCTCATGGAAGTTTATATTTACTAAATTTTTTTTTAATGCTAGTGGCATGATGTGCGGAATAACATTTGTTTGACATAATTATTTTTTTAATACTAATAGCATGATGTGTGAAAGAACATTGGTTTGACATAAATAAAATAAAAAATAAAAAATGACATCATGCGTAATAAAATTGGATTAATTTACTGTTAGGGTCCGTTTGATTGTAAAGATAAAATTGAATTAGCTAGAAAATGAATTTCAGGGAATTGAGTTGCCTAGAATTGTTTTCCTGGGAGTTGTAAATTATTATGTTTGATTTGTATAATTTTTCAGATAGAAAATGTTGAAATAAAAGTGTTTTTTATATTCATTTGACTTTGTTTTACATGAAAATTGTCAATTAAAGGAAAATATTTTTTTACAATAATTCTTAAAATTGGTTTCCATTACCAAAAAAAAAAAAAAGTCGCTACCACCAAAACAAGGAAAATTCCAAGTTTCAAGAAATCCAAGAAATACAATTCCATGAAAAATATAGAGTATCAAACACAAAAAATTGGAATTTCCAATTCCAATTCCATCTTTTTTTTTTTTTTTTTTCATTTTCATGCTATCAAACACTCCTTAGATCAATAGTGACCCTCCTTCCCTTTTTATTAGAACACACTATTCTCTTGTTCTTCGCTAGACATTATTTCTCAGTTGTTTTATAGATCTCGCTTTCATAATGGCCAAAATCAAGATCGGAATCAAAGGTAGTTTAAATGATCATTCGATTACATTCGCATTATATATATATATATATATATTATTACATTCCTGATTAGGAATTCGATGGATTGGGCGTGTGGTGCCACAGTTGCACTTCAAAGCGATGATATTGAACTTGTCGCTGTTAAATGTTAATGATCCATTCATTACGACCGATTACATGGTAATTTTTACTAATAATGATATCTACATTTATGTGATTCTCTGGATCTGCACTTTGCATTTGATTTTGACAAATAAAAAATTGGAACAATTTATTTCGCTAGCTTGGTTTTAAATTTTTAATGTGAAAAGTGTTATCAAATGAGAGATCCCTGGATCCTTTGGTGGATTACAGACTCGCTGATTAACAGTTTCGTACTGATTAGAGAGATATATGCACTGGGGTTATGGCGTTTCATTGTGAATTATTTGTCGATGTGTGATTCTACAGTGCTTCAGTGCATTCCTAGAAGTTTAACAAGTCGCATGTTATTTGTCTGGTTAAAGTTCACTTTACAGAGATTTTTCCATTCATGAACTTTTGTATGTTAACCATATCTAATCAGATCCATGTTATTCACTTGATTAACTCATACCAATAATTAAATGCATCTATGTATTGTAGGATAATTTAATACTTTAAATCACCGGATCTTTCATGTTAAATCATCAAGAAATTGAAGAATTAAAGCGGACGCGTACCTGAATCAGATATGGTTAACCGTTAATGCAATAATGAATTTCGCGGTATAGTCTTCCAAATCTACACGCAGTCTCCTTTTTTTCTCTGTGATGGGATGCAGTAGAGAATGAATAATACGTACGTGTGATTTGGGGAACATAACCTATTTATATAGCGACGCCCTTTGACCTAATTCGGCCCATCATAGAATTAGAACATGCTAGCTAAACTCTAGTAAAATTTTACACCTTTTATGACGGGGGAACCCGCAGGCTAGCACCCTTCGGGTGCGCACTGGGTAAATTATCGGGTTGATGCAATAGCCTGTAAATCACGCCAGCCAGGTAAACAGCAATAGGCAAGCCCTATGCGACAGACTCGACCGAGAAAGTGTTCATATAAATCGGGCACCGGACAGCTTTGCTAGGAGGCATATGGCACAATTCATACCAACACTCTCCGTTAAGGAGGGCATTGCCGGAATATTCTTCCTACAACTCAAACTACTACTATGATGCTACTCCAATGGCTGCCATCGGCAGGTATGTTTGATGGAATATTCTCCCTTCATTGAAGATCATTTAATTAGTTTTTGCAGCATAATGTGGCTATTTTGTGACTAGTCGAATGCATGTGCAACGCTTGTAACCTTTACTACTAAGGAATGAGGAGATTCTAAATTAGCTTTGAAGATTCTCAAAGCCATCGCATTTTAGTATTTTCGGGTTAGTTCTTACCGTGGAATTATACAATATTTTTCTCCAGTTTTTATCTTTATTTTTATGGTTGAGCAATTATGGAAATGACATTTGAGTTTGAATTCACATTATTTACTTCTATATGTTTGTTAAGTTGTGGGGGGGCATTTTTGTCATCCTTGTTTGTCATTCGTTAGGCCCAATTATGTCGTTGGGCTTATCTTCATAAATGAACTGGGTAAGCTCTCTGTGGAAGACGTCACTCATGATAAGTTGAGCATATTTGACTGAGTAAGAATTTGATACAGTTGATATACAGACGAAGAATGAAATGATTTCAAATAGAAAATCTCAAAAACAATTAATTTCTCAAATGCTATTATGAATAGAAAATTATCGACGTTAACATCAAGTAATTCCAATCATGTCTTCCTTTGAAATTAGGCCCATTTTGTAATGATTTTTCTGAATAATGCCATTCTCACTATTGATTTTTTGACCATGTCTAGTCTAAATTAGAAAGAAGGGACACGATGCTGATACGACTAAAAATGATAAGTGAATGTGAAGCCAACGTCTAGCTTTACGCTAATCAGAATGAAGCTATGATGAGATAAATTGCGATTTATATTTAACAACTGACATATCCATATGGGTTTATATTTAACAAGTGACATATCAATATGTATATACACGCACACACATATTATTAATGACGAAATGTTTTAATGAATATTATCATATCCTATATTGTGGAGAAATATTGTTGATGTTAGCATGTATATTGTATAAAGATTACGGGATCATAAATTTTTATTTCTCACGAAATAATTGTATAGAACATAGAATATTTGTAAACTGCGAATTACTCTTTCGCATGATTCAAGAAAAAAATATTTATTCCTAGGATTGGTGCCATCATTGAGATAGAGGAGAGAGACGGGATAATGAATGAATGTATATATTTTTTATTAATTTAGTTGATCATTAGAAAAAAATGGTGGAAAATTTCTAAGAATTTTTCATCAAAAGTCAATATCCAATATAAATTCCCATTTTTGCGCACTGTCTAATCTACTTTGATATGTTGGTCATGACACGGACAGCTGCCACAATTAATAAATAACCTTGACTCATAAAATTTAAAAAATAAAAAATATGAGCAAGAAATTTATTCATTTAAGAAATTAAAAATATTTGATATATGTATTGTGAAGATCGTGAAAGTAAAAGGTATAGGTGTTACAATATTACTCAAATTATTTAATATAAAAAAATCATTAACTTAACAATAATTGTTAGTTGATAGTTAAGGTAATTACACACAAAGTACAAACATATCTACAATACATTAAAAGTGTGGATTGAAGAAAAATTTTTGAATACCAATTTTATATATATATATTCTACCTGTATATATTTAATATGGTACCAATAAATATAATTTAATTTAACTTCATTTGATATCCATTTAAGTGATAAGTGTAATGCTCATTGTTTTATATTGGAGTATTTAGAATTTTACATTAATTATTGAATAATTACATATTTTGGAAGATTTATTTCCTTGTCAATTGCATTATTTTGTTACATAATGATATCCTTTCCTAGATTAGATATATACACGTTTTCTTTCATTATAAAAAGGTTGTAACATATTCATTCAATTAATGAAATGGAATTCTTCATTCACAAATTATATTCTATCAAATTCTAACAGCATATTCATTCAATTAATGAAAAGGAATTCTTCATTCACAAATTATATTCTATCAAATTCTAACAGGGTATCAAAGTCGAAGGTTTAAACGATCCATACCTTCACCATGGCAGATTTAACCACACATACAGCCGCCCCTGATGTTTTGAAATCCCTCACCGATGCTAACTCCCCATACTATTTACATTTATCTGACCAACCCAATCAATTTCTTGTCAATGTACCTCTCAATAGCGATAACTACCCTGCCTGACGCTGAGCAATAACCCGTGCACTTACTGCCAAGAACAAATTGGGTTTCGTTCTTGGCACTATCAAACGACCAACCAATGATACTGCTGCCCCTCTTCTTTGGGACAGATGTTGTGACATGATAATGTCTTGGTTCCTCTATTTTTTCGATTGATCTCTCATAGGTAGCTTCCTATATTGTGACGCACCAAATGATTTATGGGTTGAATTAGAAACCTGTTTCCTGCAAAGCAACCGCACCAAAATATTCCGACTGAAACGAGACTTTGCGAACCTCCATCAAGAACAACAATCAATCACTACTTACTATGGACGGTTGACAGAATTATGGGATGTATTAGTTTCTCTACAACCCATAGTTTCGTGTACTTGCGGTGCATCTAAATCACTTTCTGAGATCTAGGAATCTGATCGAATCTACCAATTTCTCACGGGCCTAAATGATAGCTTCCAACAACTTCGATCACAGATTCTGGCTATGGACCCACTCCCGTCAATTGGCCGTTGTTACGCCATTCTACATCAAGAAGAGACCCAATGATTGGTCCAATCAACCACCTCTCGATCGGAGATTTTAGCTTTGCTCGCTCGCTTACAGTAGCGGGCCACCTCCCATCCCCATCACGTTCGACCGATAGGACATCCAATTGTGAAGAATGTGGTAAATCGGGTCACACTCGTGACAAATGCTTCGAGATTTTGGGATACCCAGATTGGTGGCCTTCAAAGAACAAGCCTCCACCACGAAGTTCACCTCGGGTTGCTCGTTCTTCTTTTCCGGCGGTGCACCAAGTCGCCGTCGACCAGACCTCCACCACGAGTGCCACCCATGGCCTCTCTATCGAGCAATATAACCAATTGATGGAACTCTTAAAACCTCCAGCCATGGCCTTCACAGGTGAGTCCCTCGGCCATTCCAATTTTTCCCCAAATTTTTCCCATTTTTCTTCTAATCGATCCCCTTGGGTAATAGTTATTGGTGCAACCCACCATATTGCATCTTCCCACCTTAAGAATATAACAACTGCTAGTTGCCCCCTTTTGTAACTTTACCTACGGGTACACATGCCAATATATCTTCCATAGGTGATTTTTCTTTATCTCCTAATTTAAATCTTTCTAATGTTTTATCGGTTCCTGATTTCAAACTTAGTTTATTATCCGTTAGCCAATTAACAAAATCCATTAATTGTGTCATATCTTTCTTCCCACTTCCTGCACTTTTCAGGACCTAACCACGAAGATGCTGATTGGTGTGGGCGATGAGCTTAATAGATTGTACTACTTTAGGCATGCTCCAGCGACCACTCTCCAAGCATCTAGTCCTGTCTCTTTTGACACTTGGCATCAAAGTTTGGGTCACCCCTCTTTACATAATGTTCCCAATTTATTTCTCGTCCTCCCAATATTGATCATTGTGATATATGTACTCATGGAAAACATACACGGTTGCTTTTTCAATCAATTTCTAATAAAAGTTTGATGCCTTTTGGTCGCATGTTTCGTGACATTTGGGGTGGTTATCACATTGCCTCTCTTTCTAGTACACATTATTTTTTAACTATAGTTGATGAATATAGTCTGGTCATATGGTTGTACTTAATGCATTTCAAATCCGAAACTTTCACTTGTCTTCGTTCCTTTTTTTCTATGGTCTATACCCAATTTAACTCCAAAATACGCTACATACGCACTGACAAATGGTAAAAAATTCCTTACTCACACTACTCAAGAATTTTTCTCTGAGCAAGGAACCCTCCATGAGTTCACTTGCTGAAAACCCCACAACAAAATGGTATTGTCGAGCACAAACACTGTCATATCTTAAATGTGGCTCGGTGTCTACGCTTTCAAGCACACCTTCTCCTTACTTTTTAGGGTGAATGTGTTCTCACGGCCACTTATCTCATCAATCGCACTCTTTCGTCCTCTCTCCAAAATATTTCTCTTTTTGAGCATCTTTATCACACCCCACCACGTTATGATCATTTACGTGTGTTTGGTTGCCTATGCTATGCCCACACCAATTCTGCTCACCGTGATAAGTTTCAATCCCGTGCCCATCCCTATGTCTTCCTCGGTTATCCGTCTTCTTATAGTGCATACCATGTTTATGACTTAGAGGACAAGAAACTTTTAACATCTTGGGATGTCACCTTTCTCGAACATGTCTTTCCTTTTCAACTGCATTCTCCCTCTTCCCCATCATCCCTGGTCTTACCTCTCCCCTTCCCCGATCCTTTTCCACACCCAGCGCCACCCTTTCCACCATCCTCTCCACCTCCTCCCATCTTTAAGCCCTCTATTCTTCCCATTTGTCCTCGTCACACTATCCAGCATTTCTCTCATCTTGCTGACTACATTTGCCCTACCCTGCCATCGTCTTCATCCGTTACGCCCTTCATTGCCCTCATTGCAGCTTCAGGTACTACTCATCCCTTATCTCATTTTGTTTCTTATCATAAATTTACACTTGCTCATTTTGCCTTTCTTTTTGCCTTATCCCAAACCTCTGACCCCACTCGATATTTTCAAGCTGTCAAACATTCCCATTGGCGTGATGCATGCAAGCTGAGATTCAAGCCCTTGAAGCTAATAATACTTGACTTCTTACTCCTCTTCCTCTTGACAAGAAACCTATTGGCTGTAAGTGGGTCTTCAAAACTAAACTCCATGCAGATGGTTCCATTGAACACCATAAGGCTCGGTTGGTGGCTAAGGACTACACTCAGGTAGAGGGTCTTGATAATCGTGACACCTTTGCACCGGTGACTAAACTTGTTACTGTTTATTGTGTCTTGGCCATTGCAGTAGCCCGTAATTAGCATCTTCATCAACTTGACATTAATAATGCTTTCCTTCATGGTAATTTGGAAGAGGAGGTCTATATGACGCTACCTCCTGGGTATGGTCAACAAGAGGAGACTCGTGTCTGTCGTTTACTTAAGTCTCTCTATGTTCTTAAGCAAGCATCTCGAAATTGGTACTCGAAGCTTTCCTCTGTACTGTTGTCCGATGGTTTTACTCAGTCTGCAGCTGACACTCACTTTTCACTCGGACTATTGGCTCATCTCTCACTGTGGTTTTAGTTTATGTTGACGACATTTTGGTTGCAGGAAATGATCTCTTTGCCATCACTGTTCTAAAAAAATATCTTGATGACCTTTTAAAATAAAGGATTTGGGCACCATGAAATATTTTCTTGGTCACGAAGTCGCTCATTCTCCATCTGGAATTTTTATTAATCAGAGAAAATATGCATTGGACATTTTTACTAACTCTGGTAATCTGGGATCATGGCCTGCTTCTTTTCCCATGGACCAAAATTAGAAACTCAACCCTGATGATGGTAACTTACTTTCTGATCCCGGAATATATCGTCAGCTGGTGGGCCTCCTTCTATACCTCACTATCACTCATCTGGACATCTCCTTCTCCATCAACATGTTAAGCCAATTCATGCAAAGTCCTCGGGACCCTCATTTTCGAGCTACTCTCCATGTTCTATGATACCTAAAGGGCACTCCAGGACATGGTCTTTTTTTTATTCTGCACAATGTGATTTTTGACTTACTGCATACTCATATTCTAATTGGGATTTGGGCGAGTTGTCCTACTACTCGTCACTCCACTATTGGTTTTTTCACACAAAGAAGCAATCAATTGTTTATCGCTCCTCTGCTAAAGCTGAATACCGTGCAATGGCTATAACCACATGCGAACTAGTTTGGCTCAAGTCTCTGTTACATGACCTCGCAGTTCCACATCCTCAGCGTATCTTGCTCTTTTATGACAATGAGGCTGCTCTGCACATCACTCTCAATCCTATGTTTCATGAACGCACCAAACACATTGAAATTGATTGCAATTCCGACCGTGAAAAATTTCAGCCTGGACTCATTCTTCCTACACACGTGTCCGCCAAGGTCCAATTAACTGACATTTTTACCAAAGCTCTTGGCAAGGATCTTTTTCATCATTTCACTCGCAAGTTGGGCATTATGGATCTCCATGCTCCAACTTGAGGGGGCATATTGAATAATTACAAATTTAGGAAGATTTCTTTCCTTGTCAATTGCATTATTTTATTCCATAATGATATCCTTTCCTAGAATAGATATATACACGTTTTCTTTCATTATAAAAAGGTTGTAACATATTCATTCAATTAATGACAACAGAAATTATATTCTATCAAATTCTAACATTAATCAAATTAAGTTTAATTACATTATTTAAATTAAGTTTTACTACTTAAAATCGAAGCTCACATATATAGATGTAATTTTATTATAATTATATAATAAAATATATTAAAGGTTGCATTAATATAATGGTAGATTAATTACAATATAAAATAATATTTATTATAGTTTTAATATAATTATACATGTAGAGGATTTTTGATTTGAAGTGATTAAATTTAATTGAATTGATATAAAATTATGAGTACTCCATAAAAATAAACTCTATATTTAAAAGAAGACTACATGAATTGTAATTAATATATATATATATATATATATATATATATATCAACATTCACCTACTTATATAATTATATTATAATTACAATATATATAAAAATAAAATGTGGAGATAAATGAGAAATGATCAATTTACCATTTTGTCCTTATATAACATTGTTAGCATTTGCATACGAAGATTACAAATTGCACTTTTAATTAATATGTTAGATAATATAACTATTTAAATACAGATGACAATAAAAAAATTTTGCTTAAATGTAATCAACAGTTAAGAGGGAAAGAGTCGAAGATGGGAGAAATTATCTATTAATCCTAAAAACCTTACTAATTACTCTTAATAATTAGGAGTTACTTACCCTTCCCATATTTGTATCCACCCCACTAAACAAAAACTTCGCATCTCAATTACACATTTTTTACTAAAACCAAAATTTTAAATATTAATAAAAATTAATATTATGTGTTCTAAAACTAAGTAATATAATATTGATATTTTCTTACTATTGCATGTTCATTTTTGTATAATCATAAAAATTGATGGTAATTCAATTACTTATTAGATATAAAAATATAAAGAAAAGAAAAAGATTTTTATCTCGATACATTTAAAGAGATAATTTTTATTCCTGCACGTGTATTAAATTCCATTCAAAAGAAAACTTTTGTTTCAAGATTTTCTCATTTCTATATCTATTTTGAGTGTAACTTTGGCTTTTAGTTTAAAATAAATGCCATGAATTAATACGACGAGCATGATTAGTAAGTAATTTTTTGTTTCTAAAAGTGTTTAGATAATATTTGTTTGTTTTTTTTTTTATTTGTTCAGGTAAAAATGTTATGTTACAGATAAAATAAGTAATTTTTTATTTCTAAAATCATTTATATATCTTTAGTTTTCTTGTAAATAAACATTTTAAACTCAGTCAAGTGTACATCTCTTAATTCGATTCTTCTTCATGTCCGTCTATACCAAAAGCTAGTTGATGTCGCTACAATGGTTGAAAATATGGTCCAACCAATGTCTAGCATAAACAAATAAGCAAACAAAACATTAAATTTCAATATATTCAACATTTTCACATTATATATGTAATTTCATAAAATTATATATATGTATATATACATATACATATATATATGATGTATATATATATGTGTGTGTGTGTGTGTGTGTGTGTGTGTATATATATATATATATATTAATTTTTTATTTAACATTAGCTATTACCTTACTTTAATAATAATACGCATATCATTTATTCCATACATAAGATGTGCAACGCACGTGCTTACTACTAGTAATGTTAAAGATACAAGAGTTAACTAGCTCTATAAATCTCTTAATTTGACTAAGATGATTTTATGCGAGCACGTATCAATTGTCCATCGTTGAACCCAAATTTTGCTGTTTGCATTTGATAGATGACAAACGTGAAAACTTGAGTTAATTGTCTCAACAGTCATTGAACTTATGTCTATGTCTTGATTTTTAATAGAAGTGTAAGATATCGAGTTTTGGTCACTAAAACTTATCAAAATATTAGACATTACTCACTATCATTCCAATTCTTTAACGGATTAGTGACGTGGCTAAAGGAATATACATATGGCGTCCAGTCACATCCTTAAAAAATTGTTATGTTTTCGATTGCTCACCAAACTTTGAAAAATATCTTCAATTACTCACTAAATGTCCATTGTTTTGATGAGTTAAAGAATTGAAACGGATGTTATGGTAGTGGGTAACTCCAACGTTTTGATAAATTTTAGTAACCAAAACTCGACATTTTAAATTTCAGCGAGCAATATAAGACATAAACATAAGTTCACTGACCATTGGGACATTTAAATTGGGAAACTTCATATTCAGTCATCCTAAAAAATTCTTTCCACTAGTTTAAAGTTGTGGTATTCAATTAATTATGTTGTTCATTTTTTTTTTGATTGTTTTAAAATAAAAATAACAAAAATTAGATAAAAATGAGATGCATGATACGTTGAGCCGTCAATACACTATTCAAAAATGCATTCTTATAAAAATAATGTGGCTCAGACAAGGGCTATGCTGTAAATTATTAGTCAGAATAATGCGAAGAAAAATGGTATTAAGTCGAACAAAAAGTCGTCGTCAATCTCATCTTCCTCCTCTCTTCCTTACTGGAGACTCTGCATTTCATTATATATACGACTCACGAGGAGGTTCCTTTTGGGTTTTGTATTCTCAGTTATTTTGACTTTATTTCCATGGGAACTCAAGGCCCTGATGATGACAAGTACCACTCCAAGGTCTCTCTCTCTCTCTCCCCATGTGTGTGCGTTGACTATATTTCCCTGTGTGTGTCATTACAGATGATATAGGATGTAAATTCCATTTTTCGACTGAGGAAGAAAGAAATGTTGATCAAGTTTGGTTGGTTGAATATGCATATACATCACTGACTTCATAAACCATGAGACAATTCCTCAAATTATTTTCTCTGCTAGTGAAATTCTTATTATTTAATTAGTAGTAGATTTTTAATGGATAATGGAAAGGAAAAATTGTAGAATATTCATTCCGGCAACCTCATCGAAAGTTATAAGGTCTCCATTCAACGTATGACAATAGGCTCCTTATTCTATTCTGGGTACACATACTACTTTCTGTTAGATCTATAATCTGTTGTTACAAGACAAACTATCAGATAATTTATCCAGATATATATAATCACCAGAAACACACAAAGATGAAACTTTGATCATTTACGAGCCACAGCCACATACTCAATCACTAAATTTGTAGGTGGATGAGCGAACTGCAGAGGAGAAGGCCATAGACGCCTGGCTACCAATTACTTCGTCGAGGAATGCAAAATGGTGGTATTCATCTTTTCACAATGTCACTGCCATGGTTGGAGCTGGAGTCCTTAGTCTCCCTTATGCAATGGCAGAGCTAGGCTGGTAAAGTTCCCTTCAATAGCATTAAACTTTTGGAGTAGAAGTCGGCTGATATAATAAAAGTTCCCTTATCTTTACGTTTTGTTCACATGTTCAGGGGTCCGGGAGTAACAGTGCTTATCATATCTTGGATCGTCACTTTATACACACTGTGGCAAATGGTTGAGATGCATGAGATGGTTCCGGGAAAGCGTTTTGATAGATACCACGAGCTCGGTCAGCATGCTTTTGGTGAAAAGCTCGGTCTGTGGATCGTGGTGCCTCAACAGCTAATTGTCGAAGTTGGAGTGGACATAGTCTACATGGTAACTGGAGGAACATCGCTAAAAAAATTTCATGACTTGGTATGCGCAGACTGCAAAGAGATTAAGCTCACCTATTTCATAATGATCTTTTCTTCTGTCCATTTTGTGCTCTCCCATCTACCCAATTTTAATTCAATCTCAGGCGTGTCTTTGGCAGCTGCAGTCATGTCTTTGAGGTAAATTTTACGAAATTTCATCCTTCATTATTCCAAAACATGTCTTACATCATGTTAAACTTGTAGAGTGAAAAAAAAAATAAAAAATAAAGAAGCAAAAACTTGCATCCTGGTCTGCTGCTTATATATGTTTTGCTATGAAGTTACTCTACAATTGCCTGGGGGGCTTCAGTGGATAAGGGCGTGCAGAAAGATGTGCAATATGGATATAAAGCAACGACTACAGCAGGAACCGTTTTCAACTTCTTCAGTGCATTGGGCAATGTAGCTTTTGCTTATGCTGGTCATAATGTGGTGTTGGAAATTCAAGCTACAATTCCTTCTACACCAGAGAAGCCCTCTAAGGTTCCTATGTGGAGGGGAGTGATTGTTGCTTATGTAGTTGTTGCATTGTGCTACTTCCCAGTGGCTCTTATTGGGTACTGGATGTTTGGTAATAAAGTCGAGGACAACATTCTTATCACTTTAGAGAAACCCGTATGGCTCATCGCCATGGCTAACATGTTTGTTGTGGTTCACGTTATTGGGAGTTATCAGGTGAATTGAATTCTTTATTTTTTTCAAATTTGTTCCTCTGAGAGAGAGAGAATCTTTTGTAATTTCGATTTAATGCAGATCTATGCAATGCCAGTTTTTGACATGATAGAAACTGTGCTTTATAAGAAACTAAAATTCAAGCCAAGTTGGTATATACGCTTTGTTTCGAGGAATATCTACGTGGGTACGTAAACTGCTATTACTGGTTCTTCTGTTGTACTTCTATTGCAGATTTATCCAAGTTTGTTCATTTTCTTCGGTTACAGGATTTACAATGTTTGTTGCCATTAGCTTCCCTTTCTTCGGTGGTCTTCTAGGATTTTTTGGAGGTTTTGCTTTTGCGCCAACTACATACTTCGTAAGCAGCTTTTTTCAGCATCTTATTATTGCATTGCGTAGAAGGCATAACACTGACTATTAACACATTCCTTCAGCTGCCCTGTATCATGTGGCTTGCAATCTACAAACCGAAGAAATTCAGTCTATCTTGGTGGACCAACTGGGTATATATAACTTTTCTTTAATTCTTCTTCTGGGGTTTAATACCAGATCTGTTCAATTATCTCGTTATGATTTCCAGATTTGCATCATTCTCGGCATTCTGTTGATGGTTGTAGCACCTATCGGCGCTCTAAGGCAGATTATACTTCAAGCCAAACACTACAAGTTCTACTCATAGGCATCTTCTCATATAGTGTACAAGTTCTCTAAAACAGGTGTCTGATCTTATCCATAAGAACGGTTATTTATATGGGTATGTATCAACTTTGTATGAAAAATGTCATAAATAACAAAAAACAGAAATATGATATGCATGATACATTCATGATCCAACGATCCCTTTATAGTAATATATTTTCGCAGAATATACTAGTGGATCAAATAATATATATGTTACTTGTTAAAGGTAAGCATACATTTTTTTAGTGGCGACACAACATAACTTTAAGATTATGTTGAATAAATGCAAAGAAAGGAAAAACTGTCATGTCTATGCTACCCAAAACAACTATTGAACTGCAATACTCGAATTATATAGGTTACTTGATAAACAAAATTATAATTGGAAATGGAATGTGAGGAATTTATATACTATGCCCTTGTTTGAGTCCCATTCTTTTAGAAAAATACATTTTTCAACAGTGTTTTAACATCATTTCAACCATAAATGCAAAGAAAGGAAAAACTGTCATGTGTATGCTACCCAGAACAAATACTAAACTACAATACTCTAATTATATAGGTTACTTGATAAACAAAATTCTAATTGGAAATGGAATGTGAGGAATTTATATACTATGCCCTTGTTTGAGCTCTATTCTTTTGGAAAAATACATTTTTCAGCAGTGTTTTAATATTATTTCAACCACACGTTTTTTAATAAAATAATATTACATGCAAATTCAAAACATTTCCTTATTTTTTAACCATACATTTCCCATCATACACTATTCAAAAATTCATTCTTCCCAAAAAAAAGGGGCTCAATTAAGGGCTATGTTGTAAATATAGACACTGTTCCTGTCAAAATCACAGATGTCAAGAATCTATCTGTTGGTCCAAATAGCAGCATCTCAATAAAGACACAATTACCAGATAGTGAAATGATAATCTAAAACTGACAGGACAATTTTATCGAGTGGGTGCATGCATCATGCATGCATCAGTAGATTTCATTTCTCACAGCTACATACATTGAAATCATACTCATACGTGTTGCTCCTTCCACTCTGTTATTTTGCAGTCATCAAAATGGAAAATATTTTCAAAATATTAATTAGTTTCCATATTCAATTTGTTATGCTATAAAAGAGGACTACTGGCTAACTAGGGAGCATTTTACACAATGGTAATAAATGGTTACTTGAGTTGGTCTTTGATGTTTAGATGAACACTTCATCCTGAAAATTAATGATGCTCAGTTTAGTTTTTCAAGAAATGATGTATATATTTATTTTATTTTGTTACATTTAGTTTTCATCGAATGCTATGTTGCTGGTGTCATTTTCTGAGCATTAATTCTTCTATTTGATTATTTTTGTCAGTCGAACTTGTCAATTTGTTAGGCATCAAACCTAGGGGTGGCAGTGCAGAAAATACCACTGTACTACATCATTAAATCATACTTAGCCTTCTTTTGATGATATTATTACCTACCGGAGGGCTAAGAAACAACAAACTGCAAGGTGCAAGCGAATAACACTCACTTCCACTCTTTGAGCATCTCCGCAAGTTGATTAGAAGCAAGTTCGAAAGAAAGTGAATAAGACAGCAATAATACATACCCTAGTAATTTCCTGCCTGATAGGCGTTAGACCAGAATTTCAAATGTCATAGAACCAGTCGGTGAGAAATAAACTGTTTCTGTTAGTTTTATATGCTACCTTTATTTTCAAACTACATCAAACATATATATATTTTCAGCTTCGCATCGAGCAATTTACATAAATGCAAATCCCATATTCTTGACTAGCTATCCGGTCCTTCAGCATTTAGCCAACCAGAAGATGCGTACAAAAGTAGCCTAAATCGAGTAACATAAGATAGTTGATCTGTCTACTTTGTGACCATGAAGAACTACCTTGTTGGATACAAAAATATGACAATCATGTACACAGCCCCAAGATTGAAGCAAGGCTTTGTGTCCTGTCAGCGGTGATAACTAGAATAACAACCTAAAATGGAAAACTACAAAACAAGCAAGACTATAACTACGAATTCTTCTAAAGTCTTTCCACCTTAACAATAAATTTTACCCACTGGAAAACAAGATAATTAGTATATGATCAAGAGACAAATCCCGAAAACATTCAAGGCAATCGTAATCAGTAAAAATTCTTGGTCTATTATAATTTATAAGCTACAGTGGCAACTGAATATTCACTACACCAATCTGAGAAGTACATTACAACCAAACTACAAAAACATTCATCTGCGCAGAATGCAGAACAGTTATGTTATATAAACTTTAAAAGGTATAATTCCATAATTACATGTCAATAACTCAACAATCATTGTGCATGATGCAGATGAACAGAAAAGAAACGTTCTTCCATTGATTTATCTTTTAGAATATTACACAAATGGAACTAAAATCACCAAATTCTATTTTTCTATTTCTATCTAATTTTCTTTTCGATCTTTTTCATCCTTCCACTATACAGCTCAATCCATAGATTTGAAATCCACAATATGCTAACAGAAATAGCCGTCACAACAATAGAAATCCATGATATCCAAGCCCATTTAGGAATCACATTATTCGCAACCCCACTCAGATAAAACACAAACATTCGATAAACAAAATAAGGTCCCATCAAACCTCTCATCACAGAGTAAAAAGCATAAAACGGAAGGGACAACGTATCATACACTTTAGCTGCAAACTTCACTTCTGATTTCCGTGCACTAGCCAGCGTCCACACGTTCTGGCATAAGCTCGTGACCTCCGCAAGAATCAAGAGCACCAGGATCGCATATGCACCGTGATAAACCAAGTATCGACACGTCATGAACACGTAGAGAGTGAGTAAATGGTGGCCTATGAAGAGTATGTCTCGGGGGTAAAATACGAAATAATGCAAAAGATCCATCAAGAAATATGCAATGCTGTATTCAAGAACAAGGTTCTGAAAAGAGGTGTTAGGGGAACCGAAGTTTCGGGTCGGGTCGGACAGTATGGCGTAGGAGGCTAAAAACACGGCTGGAGTACCATGAGCTAAGGAAATAATACAGCTCGAAGCTTCGGGCCGGAGCTTCCGGGTCCAGGTCCGGAAAAGAATGAAGTAGGCATTGAGGTAAAGGATAAAATACATGATGAAAAACAAAGGCAGGTAATTCGTGATTGAGAGTTTATCCATGATTAGAATGGAATCCAATTCCAATTGATGCAAAATATGTGAGTTATATCCAATTTAGGGTTTTGGGAGATGGGAAATTTCTGAATTCACAGTAGATATTTACAGAGAAACAAGAAACGGTGAAAAAAAATGGAGGAAAAAGGCAAAATTTGGTGAACAGTAGGTGGCAGCAGATCTCGTCGATTTCGACGAAATATGGCGGCTAATGTCTCTTCTTCTTCACAATTCACGCACGCAGATTTTTGAAAACGTTGACACCGAAATCTAATTAACGTTGTATTTATAGTCACTATTACAAATTTGTAACGTGTACGAAATTAGTTTGCGTATAATTTGGTTTTCGAGTCCCAATAGAATTCGAACCCGATAACATTCTAATCGCGAATATTCGAACAAAAAGGGTATTATTCTGATTGGTCCAAGTCTAACGAATTTAAGTTGGGGAAAAATTCATAAATAAGAAAGTATCATACATTTCAAAATTAAATCACAACCTATTCTACAATCACAAATTATCAAATTATCGTCACAAAGTAATAATTTTTTAGGTCACGCATTATTTTTTATCACAATTTATCATTTTTATTGGTTACATATTATTATTGATCATGGATTAACCAATTTAATGGTTACAGTTAACCAAATCATTTGCGACCACCACCTCACCACTGTCATTAGTCGAAACGTCACCAAAGCCGTTGCCCGACAGAACCACCACCACAAACCCACAACATCACAGTAGCATAATCGCCACCGTCACACTCACAACATCGCAGGACCACCACTGCCACATCTCACTCCACCCACCACAACCATGCACCATAGCACCACGACCACCAACGTCACCACCACACCACAACCACAAATCCACAGCAGACCAACCACCAAATCGTTGCCAACACTACCTCCACAAATCCACAGCAGATCAACCACCAAACCAGTTGTCGCCAACACGACCTCCACAAATCCACGGCAGACCAACCACGACCTCCACAAATCCATAGCAGACCAACCACCAAACCTTCACAAATCCACCACACCACAACCACAAATTCACCACGCTGCCATGACCTTCACAAGTCCATCACACCACAATCACTAAGGTGGTGCGCGTGATGCTGCATCTACAACAGACCAACCACCAAACCTTCTCAAATCCACCATAACCACAAAATCCACCCCACCACAACCACAAATTCACCACGCCTCCACAAATCCACCACACCACAACCACTAAGGTGCTGTGGACAATAAAAAAATAAAAATAAAAAATCCCTAAAACGAACTATACCCATTGAGATGACTCTAAGAAGAGGCATAGGACAAGCAACAAAAGCACCCTGTGATGACGAATCAGTGTCGTCATGAGGTGGTCCTTGCCATCGACGAATGGGATGAGAGGGAGAGACGACGGGAGTGATAGATAGAGAGAATTTTAGGGCTATGTAGGGGTGGGTTGTGGATTTTTTTTAATTACATAACTTCATTGTTTAATATTTAAAAAATGTATTATTATTTTATTTTGGAATTAAAAAACTTGAAATCTTAACTTTGAATTAGGGATAATGTAATTTCCACTTTAAGTTAATAATAGTGGACCAATTCGGATTGGTCTAAATTTGATTCAATTAAGTGGAAATTACAGATTCTAATAGATTTGAAATTCACATTTCTTAAATCAGATGCCATGTTTAATATTTCACAAATCAGATTTTTTTAATTAATTAATATATTTAAAATTAAAACAATTTTTCAAACCCTAATTATTTCACTCTCAATCCCCTCTCTCTCTATTCTCGCCTCTCTCTCTTTGCTAGAAACACCGTCGCCGAAGGTCACTCCCACAAATCGACCATCGCCAAACAAGCAACCATCGGAACATGGTCGAGCAGCACTGTGAACCATAGCAAGTGGTGGTCGTGGAGATCTTGGCGACAGCAACAACTCGAAGAAATCAAGTCTCAACTGTAGGGAAGATGGTAGCCCGACGATTGCAGTCAATAATTTGGTGGATATCTAGGGTGAATGTGATGGTGGTGGTAGTGGTTTTGATTTTTAGAGGTGATGTAGATGTGATGGTGGTGGTGGAAATCGACTCATGACTGTGGAAAGATGGTGGTCCGATGGTTGTAGTTGGCGATTCGATGTGGCAGTAGGTGAATGTGGTGTTAATGGTTGTAGACTGGGGCATCTGTTCAAAAATTGTTACATCTCTGTGGTTGGAGTTGGTGGCGTCGTGCCTCCGTTGGCGTCGCTATGGGTGGAGGTGCTGGTGGAGGTGTGGTAGGTGAAGATGGGGTGTTGCGCAGCAATGTTTTTGAGGTGATGGTGTTTGTGGTGGTGTTGCAAGGTGGGTGGAGGGTATGGTGCAGTGGTGATGGGTTTTCTGAGGTGCTAGGTATTATTAGAGGTTTATGATGGTGTTTGTTGGTGGTGTAGGTGGGTGGAGGTGCTGTCTGGCTCGGTGGATCTGGCAGTGGTGGTCGGTGGTGGTTTTGATGGTCGTGGTTGGGTCGATGGTTGTGGTCACAAGTGTTAGTCACAAAGTATTTGATTAACTGTGACCAATTAAATTGGTTAATTTGTGACAAATAAACAATATGTGACCAATAAATAATAGACATTGTGACTAATAAATACTCTGTGACCTAAAAATTATTAATCTGTGATCGATAATTTGTGACTGTATAATAAACTGTGATTTATAATATTCATGATTTGTGATCAATGAATAAATCGTGACTCATAAATTTTTTTGATTTGTGATTGATAAATAAACTGTAACTTATAAAATTTCTGAATTGTGACCGTAAAATAATTTGTAACATAAAATTTTTGATTTGTGACATAAAAATAATAAGCGACTAATTAAATTGTTAATTTGTGACCAAATTGTATAAATCTGTGACATAAATATATTTAATTAATTAAACATAAATAAATTTTAATAAAAATCTGATTTTTGAAGTTTGAAACTTGTTTTCTTAATTTTGAAATGTGTGAAATTTCACTTATGAAAATTTCCCTTCAATTAATAACCCACGGTGTTGGGGGTATTTGGCCCAATAAGCCACAGTGTTGTACATAGGATATCATCATTTTACAGGAAAAAGTAAAGGTAGTCATGGCTAAATTTGATTCCGGTTCCAAAAGAATCAAACCGAACTATGAACTAATGATCTTTTGATAATAAAATCAATGATTTTTTTTTATTTTTTTAAAACCCAAAATAAAAAAGAGGATCTAAACATCGTCCATCATGAATATAACCAAAAGCCCGTAGAAATTTCAAAAACACATATTCACTGTCTCTCAACTCCATTCAAGACACGAAGTGGTGACTACTCGATAAAATATAAAATAAAGAAAAGAGAGAGAATCTTTGAGGAAGAAGAGTCGAAGGTTGAGACTTCAATTAGAGGCTTAAATTTCAGTAATCCAGGTGGCGCTAATAGTTAATGAGTGAGACGGTAGACGATGGCTATGGCGAAGGAGTGCGAGGGTGTGTCTAAAATTGAAAATGAGAGAAATGATTACAATTTAAATCTAAAGTTTCATCGCTTTTCTCTTATAGGTGATAAGGTAAAATGTCATGATAGATGACATTTTTGTCCATTTCATATTTAAAATTTTAAAAGTTGGTTTTTTTGGGTGTGATTCATTGATTTGTAATAAATGTATAAAATAATAAAAATTGAGTTCGGACTCAATCTAAGAAACAAGAACCATTAATTTTTTCTGTTGGTTAGGTCATATCATTTTGTCCACTTCTAATATAAGGCAATAAAACTATGGACATCGAAATTACATGAGAACACAAACAAAACGATTCTATTTAACGCCCAACCATATGCATCTACCGGCATAACAAAACCCACCTGAAAAGAAAAGGAATAAAAAATTACAATAGGTTAAATTTTTAAAAAAAATTTCACCTAACCACAACATGATTCTAACACTTATAATAAACATACTACAAAGATTAGGAAACAAAAAATAGATTTTCCTCAAAGTATGGGAATATAAGTTGACCAAAAAAAAAAATTCTATTTTTGTGTCCTAACTCCTAATGATGGCAGTAAATAATGTTGGAATAATTTAATACGTGGACTTCACATTCGATTGTAAATTTTACGGGTTAAATGTATGATTCATGATAATATTTGTGTTTGGACCAAATTTATCAAGTGATCAATTGAGCCTTTTACACCTTACGGGTTGTAATTAATATAATGTGGTAATTTTAAATATGTGGGCGGAAATAAAACCCAATTAGAATTCTAGTCGTAATGGAACGTTTGAATTATTTCTCGTATAAAGATTAGGTCTCATCTCCTCTCCATATTGTTTTTATTAGTTTGCCTCATTAATAGCTAATACTTTGTAAGGAGCAAGGAGAGAAAGATCTGACTCCTATTATAATTACAACTATTATTCATATCAACAATGACTTCCGCAGGTATGAGTTCGTTTTATTAATTTATTATCTGGTGATTCTTGATACTTTCATGATTATAAATAAATTTCAACAATTGATATCAAAGCCTACGTGCTAAGATCAGATTCCTTCATAAAAAAAAAGCAAGTTCGGTAATTTGCATTCGGTTTCTGACTAGTAAAAGAAATTACATACGACTAATATTCCTGTTATAATAAAACTCCCTATTTTGCCTAATTTATGTATTAAATGATTTCCGTGTTGTCAAAATCTGCTTTGTATGTCTCTGTTTCATGATTTAACACAGAAATCAATAGACTTTGAATTTAATAATAATACACGTGTTGGACAAAAGTTTGTATAAATAAGTGTGTTATAGGTTACGTGTATATGTTCATGTTCTTTCCGTCCAAATTTATTTATTTATTTGGTTATTAACAATTCTTGGAAATAAAATTGAAATCCTAACGTTAGGGAAGTAATATTTTATTATAAAATGTATTGGCAATTATAGTATAATTACAATATGTATACTTAATTGGTGTCGCATGCCAAGACGGAAAATTGGATTTTCTTTAGGGTTTTTCTGTAAAAACGGGCAGATTTGGTTGGAAATGAGACCTATGTTGTAATCTCAGAAAGTGCAGGCTCCTACTTGCCATATGAACTGGGGTTAAGTTTGTAAATAATAAAAGGAGGACCTAGTTTTAATTTTTAAATTTAAGGTCAAAATGCAATTTTTGAAAGAGTAATAAATTTGACTTTTTAAAAGGGTTCTAAAATTATGTTCTAAATGTGTTTGACTTATATTTTAATTTTGACCCGTTTAAGA